TCATCATAATCCAGTGCCAGATCTGCGACAGACATCGGCGATCATGGTTCTCCATTTATTCCTTCACTCGGATGCTCTTAAAAAAGCTACGTTTCCCTGATCTTTCCCCGCCCGTAACCCATTTGTTCAGGTTGCCTAAGTAGGTTGTTCTGGGCCTAACCCAGCCTCGTTTGCCAGTGAGAGCTAGATGTTCAAAACCCTTATGTCTATTCAGGTGTCCCAAAGCTAATTCCCAAAAATATTACGATTTTGATAGAGCAGATAGAACATTTGGATTCTAACCTCATTGTCATAGTAACTCAAAACGGTAATATAATATGTCACATAAAACTTGGTAATTCAATTGTAGTGAAATGGTATTGTTTCAATTCCAGTTATTTTAAAGCTTAAAAGGGAGTACGCGATTTTCCCATGCAGAACACAGTGCTGGTAGGAAATGTATTGCGAATAATGAAAACATCAGAACGATTACAACTTCACAACGTTCTTGTGGGAGATTAAATTTGTTGTAGAATTTGTAACACGTACACACATGCACACAAACACACACACACACACACACACACACACACACACACACACACACACACACACACACAACCACACTCATTACACACACAAACACACTCACTCATATCCTCTATACATACAAAAGCATGCACATGCTCGTACACACTGTTATTGCGCATGCACTTACACAAACATGCACAAATGCATGGACAAACTATCACAATGTACACGCACCTGCTTCCTGCTGGGTCATCTCGGTGAATAACGACAGAGCGGCCGACGATGCCGTTCCTTCCGAACAGAGGGAGGTTCCAGTCGATGTAGGTTCCAGATACCGAAGACTGCCCGGCGAACGTTCCATATTTGGAGCTGAGATCTCCAACTTCGTACATGTCGTCAGTGCTCGTTGTGGGGGGAGGGTAATTGTTCTTCGTATCAATTCCGTAGGGGTTAAGATGGCCGCTCACAACATCACCCGAGCACATAGACTGTCCAGGTTGTACTTGAATTGGTCTTGGCCACTTGTGAACATGGTAGCCTTTAGCGTTCATCGCTAAACCATTGAGGCTTACAATTGTTTGGGTAGCATCTAAGGGAGAATTTTGACTGAAAGTGATAGAGCCAGCAACCCCCTGCTCACTGAACCTTACACTCGCCACTCTACCCGTGAAGGGTTTTATCATTGAACAAGCTAACACAGAGTTATCGTTTTCAGAGTAAATAACTAGCACCTTGTCTCTGACGCTATTACCACCACTCAAAGGCAAATTTGTATCTTTGAATGAGACTCGTTGTTCATGACTGGTAGCTCCTAGCTGAGCGCTCCCTAACTTAGAGCCCAGGTCTCCAACAGGGCACCCAGAATGCATACTCGTACTGCAGCCTGTGCCATCAGCATTCTCAGGGTTGAATGTGTACTGGCTGGAGTAGGTTCCACCACAAGGAGCCATATCCTCAGAGATTGCCCACTTCGCTTGTCTGACGTTTCCAGAAGTATACAGATCACTAACGATAACTGTTGGTGCACCGGGGTCATCGGCTTGTCTGAAGTACACGGTCCCAAAGATGGTGTCTTTGAACATGGCCATTGCTGTGATGTGTCCTGTACTTCTTTGAATGGTAGCGCAAATAGTTTTTTGGGCCCCTTCTATCACAAAAGAGAGTCCTGAAAAAGAGTTTCATAAAAAAAAAGGAAGAGATAAGGGTAGGTTTCAGTTGGTCTCCTCTGGACGCTTTTAAATACTGCGTAAAGTTTGATTAGTTTAGAGTCACTCTTATTGGTCGCTTTTAAGGACAAACGGGCTAACCCAGGTTTCGAGGATTTCCAAAAATCTTGATCTACACCAAAAGTGGGCATTGCCCTTTCTATAGGAGAAGTTTGGTTTCATAAGTGTGTATAATTGTTTGGTTGTAGAGAACATTTTCCTTGTCTTTTAACTTAAAGAAACTGAACTAGGGGCAAAAACTTTTCCTTCGATTTTCTCAAAACAGCATTTATCGGGATAGCCTCTTTGTGCTTAAAACCGACCAATTTAGACCCACAGTCCCAACAAACAAAAAAAGTACTTGCAGAATCACAAAGGTTTATACAGACTCCAACATAAGTTAAGGACCACTTGCAAACACTCTGAGTGGTCTTCTTGGGTCGATCTGCACATGGGCGTTCTTGGACTGATCCAGTGGCTTGATGGCGCTGCCTCAGGCTGACAATGAGAGAGTGTGACACTGCAAGCCTTCTGGCTACTTCTCGGGCTCAACTCCATCCTGCAGCCATGCCATAGCTTTAGCACGATCAAAGCCTCTCAGCTTTCGTCTTGGTGGCATGTTGATACGATACTGGATTTTGCGCAAACGGCGGCTTAAATTGCGACCAAAGTGAGAACAGTTCGAGACCGTAGGTCCGGTTATGACGTGCACCATAAATTTCAACTGAGGAATGTCCGTGGTGTCACACACAAGTCGATAAAAAACAGCAAATTTAGCTCAAATTCCCGGAGTATTTCGGTGCAGCACTTGATAGTTTTGCCTCTTTTGGAAGCATTGCAGTACGCATTGGTAACCCATTAACACTATCAGAGCAAAAAAAATTGAAACATTCCTTGCTGTCTTTTTTTCTGATTAAAAAAAAACCCAGGGCTGTCTGTCAAGGTGGTCCTTAACTTATGTTAAAGTCTGTATTATGCATCTCAACTCAGCAGCACATCTGTGAACCGATATTTTATGCTTCCAAATATATCTATATTTAAAGTATTTTAAGAGAAAAACAGGGTGGGGGTGGGGGGTATATGGCCTAGCACAGTGACTGTCGACCTTTATATAACCAGCACCCACTTTTGCCATTTTTAATTAAGAAGCAAATTTTTCGTACCGCCAAAAAACATGTATGTCCAAGAGAGGCATTAAAGGACACCAGTCACTACCCACTACCCAAGTGATCCCCACCGCCCACCAATATTACCAACTGGCCCACAAGTGGACCATATCGCCCAAGTTGGCGAGGCACTGGCCAAGCAGTAGTCTGAGAGACTCAGCGCTGCATTGTCCGTGTGTCCCTGTATTGTCTTACATTTACACTGGTAGGCTGTCGTCCATTTATAATATTATGCACATACATGTACTTTTTCATCCATCCATCTATCCATCCAACACACACAC